TGCACGCATGCTTAGCTTGACTCCCAAGCATTTTCCTTCTTTGTGATTCTGTTGTCAGGGAGTATTTCCCCTTAAGTTCCCTTTTGGCTTGTTCATTGTTAGCACTTAAGAATGCAACCGATTGGTGTGTGTTGGTTTTGGATCCTGCAACTTTGCCGGATTCATTTATTATTCTTAGCTTTTTTTTTTTTTTAGTGTGGAATATTTAGAGTTTTCTGTATAAGATTTGTTGCTTACTTTTTTAAAAAATTAATTAATTAATTTATTATATATGAATACACTGTAGCTGTCTTCAGACACACCAGAAGAGGGCATCAGATCTCATTACAGATGGTTGTGAGCCACCATGTGGTTGCTGGGATTTGAACTCAGGACCTCTGGAAGTGCAGTCAGTGCTCTTAAGCACTGAGCCATCTCTCCAGCCCTTGTTGCTTACTTTAAAAAAAAGATTTATTTTTATTATTTTTAAGTATGTGTGCATGTGTGTCTGTGTGTGGAAGTGTGTACATGAGCATATGTGTACTCAGGGGTCTGAAGAGGGTGTCAGATTTCCTGAAGCTAGAGGAGTTACAGGACTTTGTGAGCTTCCCTACAAACAGGACATGTTCTTACCTGCTGAGCCATCTCTCCAGCCACTCATGTTGCACGTTACTAGAGACAGTACTGCTTCTTCCTTTCCAATAGGGATACTGTGGTGGTTTGGTGGTTTGAATAAGAATGGCCCCCATAGGATCATATATTTTAATGCTTAGTCTTCAGGGAGAGGCACTACTTGAGAAGGACTAGGAGGTGTGGCCTTGTTGGAGGAAGTGTGTCACTGGGGGTGGGCTTTGAGGTTTCAAAGCTTAAGTCAGGCCCAGTGTCTCTCTTCCTGCTGCATGGGGATCCAGGTATAGAACTTTCAGCTGTTTCTCTGGCACCTTGTCTGTCTGTGTACTACCATGCTTCCTGCTGTGGTGGATAATAGACTAAACCTCTGAAACTGTAGCAAGCCCCATTAAATCTCTTGCCATGGTCATGGTAATGGATCCCAACAATGGGTCACTGATTAAGACAGTGAGTGTTCTCTGGTTTTCTTGCCTAATTGCACTGGTTAGGATCTCTAGTACTATAGAAAAGTGCTGAAAGCTTGCATCTTTGTCTTGTTCTTAATCTTAAGGAAGAGTCTTGGGCTGGAGAGATGGCTCAGTGGTTAAGAGCATTGACTGCTCTTCCAGAGGTCCTGAGTTCAATTCCCAGCAACCACATGGTGGCTCCCAACCATCTGTAATGTGATCCGATGCCCTCTTCTGGTGAGTATCTGAAGACAACTACAGTGTACTCATAAAATAAAATAAAAATAAATAAATCTTAAAAAAAAAGAAGAGTCTTTCACTAGGGGATGTGATGTTATCTATGGGTCTTTGATACATTATTATAGCTGATTTATTTATTTATTTATTTATTTATTTATTTGTGTGTGTGTGCACGCGTATGTGTGTGTAGGACAGAAGAGGGCAGTGGGTATGTGTCTGTTACTCTCTATTTCTTTTGAGGTAGGGTCTCTCCCTACCCGTGGGGATCATTTTTTCTCAGTTAGAAAGGAGTTGTCAACCTCCATGAATCCTCCTGTCTCCACTCTCCTTGGACCTGCTGTTACAGGTGTGTGCAGGATACCTGGCTTGTTACATGAGTGGTGTGATCTGAACCCCTGTTCCCCATGATTCTACACATGCTCTGAACCATGAAGCTTTCATACCCAGTCCCAACAGATCTTCTGGACTGCCTTGCTTTCCCTAAGGGCCTCACTCAGTAGCTTCCATCTGAAATCCAAATGACACTGCTGCTGCTCTCTGACCCCTGCATCACACAGGACAAAATCAGCCCCTTCTGTGAGATTCAGACAAACCAGAGTACTGAAAATAGTATTCACTCCCTCTCCTCTCTGGAGGGAAATGGAGGATTTGGCTTCCAAATTATGCTGTGCCAGAAAGGTCTTAGACAAAGATGTCTAAAAATGTCACAAAATCTTCTACCACTTAAAAAGCTGTTGCTTTGGGGCTGGAGAGCTGGCTCAGAGGTTAAGAGAGCATTTGTTGCACTTGTAGAGGACTGGGTTTAATTCCCAGCACCCACATGATGGTTCACAACCATTTGTAACCCAAGGGATCTAATAGGCATGCATGTGGTATATATACAGGCATGTAGGCAAACTATATACATAAAGTAAAAATAAACAAATATATCTGAATGTGGTTGTGCACACCTTTTATCCCAGCACTCCAGGAGTCAGAGGCAGGCTAATCTCTGTGAGCTCGAAGCCAGCCTGATCTACATACAGGACAACCAGAGATTTGTAGAGAGACCATGATTTTTTTTCCCCAACCAATAACAAATATAAAAAATTAAAATGAAAGAATAAAAAGCTGTCGCCTTTTCTTGATTGAGTATCAGCTTGGGTTTTTTTTTTTAAGTTCCTGCTGGCTTTGAGCACCCACACAATGCTAGTTCTAGTCAATCTGTTGTTTACTTTTCTAGGGGAATGAGGGGATGGTATTTTGTCTAATCTTGTTGATGCCACTGTCAGAGAATTCTAGAAGTTTTTGTTATCTATTGTTATTATTTATTTTGGTTTTTCTTTCTTTTTTCTTTTTTGTCTTTTTTTATGGTAGCAAGTCTTTAATCCTTTTATTTATTTATTTTTAACTTTTTATTTTATTTTGTGTATTAATTTCTCATCACACATCCCACTCCCACTCATCTCTCCCTCCTCTTGTTCCCTCACTCCACCTGTATCTTGCAACTTCCCAAAAGAGAAAGAAAAAAAAAATCTCACTGTGGAAGTTGTATGTCACAGTGTGTCTGACAGGATACCCTTTTGCCCATATTTCTTTACTTGAAAATGTTCATTGCAGTGAGTCTGGTACGAGGCCTCTGGCTTCTGCTACACTATCAATACTGAACCTTACTGGGACTCCTCTCGGATGTCCTGTTGTTACCCTGTGTCATGGAGATCCTGTAGCTTTAGATCTGTAGGACCGGCCCCTTCACATACTTCAGCACTTCATCAATGGGGTAGATGTTGGGGTGGGTCAGTTCAAAGCTCTAGATATGGGCCTGAGCTGGTCAGTCCACTAGCTCTCTCATGTCTACACCACTGGAGTGAGCTCTCCTGTCCTGCCATGACCGCCCCCTCCAGTGCTGCAGCCAGCAAGGAACAGAGCTAGCCTAGCACTCCTGCTCTCATGCCCTTAGGACGTGCTCATCTGCACCCATACCATCTAGGCCAGCTCTACTGTGCTGCCCAGGTTGGGTGTGGGGCCCACTTTCCCAAGTGCTGTAGCAGGTAAGAGGATGGTCCAGTTCTCCCATTCTTATGACCCTGGGGCCAGCTCTGCCGTTTGCCATAGGTGGTGAGGAGGAAGGAGAAAGGAGGATATGTCTCCCTTGTCCCTGACACTGCACAGCAGACAAAAGACTGGGCTGGATCTCTATACACACAGCCTTGGGCTGGCTCACCTGCATCCCTCACCTCCAGGGCCAGTTTTCCTGTGCTGCCCACGTGAGGTTCAGGGCTTGCTCTCCTGAGTGGTGCAACAGATGGATAGGGCAGCTCTTTTGCTCTCATGACCCCAGGGCTAGCTCTCCTGCCTGCCATAGGTAGCAGGGGAGAGAATAGGGGAGGGCATCTTTCCCTTGTCCATGCCTATGAACAACAGACAAGTTGTGGTCCCAGTTCTCCCATGCTCATATCCTTGGGGCCTGCTCACAGCAACTCTCACAACCAGGGCCAGCTCTACTGTGCTTCTTGGGCAATGTGTGGGCTCCACTCTCCAGAACACTGCAGCTTGCTAGGGGCAGAGGCAACCCTCCTTCTCTCAGGGCCGGCTCTCCCATGATGTTCAGGTGACAAGTGGAAGTGGCACAGCCTTTAGACATTCAGGAGGCAGCCCAGACCTTGGACAGCTACCCGGCCTCTGGTGATAGCAAACACCTGCTGCTGCAGGATCATAGACCCAGACATGACCCCTGGTGGCAGCACAGGCCAGGACCCCAACATGGTCACTAGTGGCATCACTGGCTAATCACATCAGGCTGTTCCTCACTACTCTCCAGTCTCCAGTTCTGCTTCTCTTCATGTGTCCACCTCCTTCTCCTTCTCTTCCATTTCTCCACTGATGGTCTGTGTACGGGACACTATCTATGGAGATCTGTGGGGCTTTGGCCTGGCTAGAGTGACCACAAAGTTGTACTCTCTGAAGGGGGGGGGGAGAAGGAGGAGTTGATCTTTGGTGGCAGAAGCCACTGAATGGAAAGTCACCTTGGTAGGCTAGAGCAGCTTCCATTCGGGAGAGAACTTTCTTCCCCAAAAGTGTTACAGTTCTTATATGATAGATGCTCTCAGACTATCTTTGATGAAATAACTTTACTCCTTGTGAATAAGTTAATAAGGTCGTGTGTGTGTGTGTGTTGTGTGTGTTTGTGTGTATTGGGATGGGTTGGGGTCTAGTGGCAGATGCTTTGTATTGGCTTGGTTTGAGATGTTAGAGATGCCTCATCTGCATATGTAGGGGCTTCAGGTATTGCCCCATGTGACTGATTGTCACCGTCTTCCCCATGAGGTGCTGTGGTTATGCGTTCACAGACAGGAACCTGGTTGGGAGTAGGTGAAATATCTACTGTCCTTAGGTCTGAGGGTACCGGGGTTTCAGAACTCATTCGACCTTGCCAAGGTTCCTGGCACGGTCCACATTCCACACTCCATCACTTACTTGCTCCTCTTAGTGGTACCCAGGGTCTCTGAGAGTCTGGAGTTATCTTAGGAGTGGTCTCATGAGTGCCATTCCCTGTTCATCATTATGGCACCAGACAGGTGTCATGTTGGTCATGGCCTGCTCCCCTCAAACCCCCTGACCGCCAGGCCTTCCAGGTGCTGCACTGTTCACCTCAGGCTAGCTCCTTGTCCAGGCCCTATGGTTCTGGGCTGGTGGTTGTCTCAGGCTTTTTTTTTTTTTAAAGGG